GGGAGGGAGGAGCCCAGCTGGGAAGTGGGGACTTTGCACGGCAGGAGCTGCGCCCCCTACAGAGCCCAGCTCCAGGGGATTGCTCTCCCCTAGATTCTCACGGCTCTGGAACGAGATGCCTCTTGTCGGAAGCATAAGTTACGGCAGAAACTGGAACAGATCATCAACCTCGTGTCCAGTGACAGCTAAGGGTGGTGGAATTGGTGAGGAGGGGCTTCTCAGTCCTGAGCCGTCCTCCCATCCAGGGGAGTGGCTGGCTTGAGCGTGGGTCCCCGGGCTGAGCCCTGGATTGGGTATCATGGAGCAGGTCACCCTGGCCAGGATGCTCCCAGCACACCCAGGCCCCCTTCATTAGTGCCTTGCTTTGGGCCCTGCAGGGGGAGGGGTGACAGGATGAGCCCCCATCCCAGCAGCAGCAATACCCCCACCCTCCTGCCCTGTGCCCAGGTGTTGGGACAGACCCGCCCTCCCTGCTATTTATATCCCTCTGCCTATTTATTGAATCAAACTCCGCCTCCGTCTCCATCTGTAAATATGTGTCCCCCACGGGATGTCGCCAGCCTCACTCACCTGCCTGTTCTTGAGCTGTCCTGGGCCCTGCCACCCGTCTGGGCTCCTTTGTGTAGCATTATCAGCCTTGGTCTGGCCTCTGGCACCTCACCCCTGCCATGGCTGACCCCACCCATTCCAAGGCGGGGTCACGGTACCAGTGGCACTTGGGGTGAGGTCTCCAAAGCTTCCTCAGAATTGTGGCTGTGCCACACTGGGCCACAGGGTCCCCCTCAAGCACCTTGGGGCCCTCTTCTCGCTGAGCATCTGGAGGACTGGACCCAGGCTTGTGCCAGGGCCTGACTTAGGCCTAGGGGCCCCAGAATGCTGCTCCTCCTGAGCCTACTGCCAAATGTCCTGAGTGTTGTCTGCACCTGCTCCGACTCACTCAGCCGCCCCATTCAGCGCCCGCTCCGTCCAGCGCCCGCCCTGAGGGGCCAAGGCGGCCGTGCCTTACTATTCCGTGTCTTCTGCCTCCTCTGAGGAATCTGACCCTGTCTCACGGTCCCAGACCCCCCATTCTCTCCTCTTAGTTGCATGAGTTTTTCTTTGTTCATGGAATGTTTTTTCCTAATTAAATGTTCGGAAAACGCCGTCCATGTGGGGCTCTGTCTTTGGGGCAGGTCAGTAGACCTGTGGGTGCTGCATGAGCTAGAGCTGCATTATGGGAGAAAGGACCACTCCTTGCAGGGTCCCAGAGGGTCTGGGGAGGTCCAGGGCCATGCCCGACCCATCAGCAAACCCCGGTGGCTCTACCTTCAAGCCAGATTCAAGATAGATAGATTCTCCTCCCTTCCACCAGCCCTACCCAGCTCTCCCGTGCCATCATCTCTGCCTGGATGCCAGTCTCCCTGCTTCTGCCCTGGCTCTCTCCAGCCTGTTCTCAGCGTGGGAAGCAGAGAGATCCTGTTATGATATAAGGTGGATCATGTTGCCTCACTGTTTAGAACCCTCCAGTGGTTTCAGCTGTGGCCAACTCCTTCAAAACCTGACAATTATGTACTGTCAAGGTTGTGGCACCCATCATGGTGCACCTACCAAAGTCTTACTCCCAGGCCTGTTAAGTAATGCAGGTGGGGGGAAGGTGACATGCAATTTACTTTTTTTTTTTTTTTTTTTTGAGACAGAGTATAGCTCTGTTGCCCAGGCTGGAGTGCAGTGGCGGGATCACAGCTCAGTGCAGTCTCAAACTCCTGGGCTCAAGTG